TGTGCCCGCAACCAAGGTACATGCCCTTGACCGGAATCGAACCTGGGACCCTTCAGTCCCCAGGCCGACGTTCTATCTACTGAGCCAAACCGGTTAGGGCTGGTTGATTCTTGTATGTGCCCTGACTGGGGATTGAACCCATAACCTTGGTGCGTTAGGACAAACGCTCTAACTAACTGAGCTAACTGGCTAGAGCTTCAGCACAAACTTCTTTTTAGTTTTAGCCTTTTTGTGGAAAATCAGCTTAGTCTGCCCACCACAGCCACTCTGCTTCCTGTCGTAATGCCGCTTTCCCCGTGCACAGAGAATCCTTGCCTGGTTTGTATTGTTACTTTGTGGGGTTTATGCTCGCCCCACTTTTTACAGAAAATCCAGCGGGTTTTGGGAACATTCTCCATGTTTGCGAGAGCGCTGTCGGCACGGAAGCGTTTGTGGATCCTTATATAGTTGTCACAACAGCCCATGGAAGCGGATACTATTATCCTCATTTAATATCTGTGGAAAGTGAGGCATTTGTTTAGATTCCATACTTCAGTAAGTGAAAGAGGCAGGTTTCCAACCAGGGTCCCTAATAGGCTTTTGTGCTGCTTTCTATAGGTAAATATCCTTTCTTGCTCTAGAGTAAAACATAAAAAGATATTTATCAATAAGCACTTTGGATTGCTCTAAAAAATATACATATAAATATAAATATACTCCTAGAGAGACATAAGTATTTCATACTTGCATTTCATTAATCGCAGAGTGCAATGTACTGAGAAGTTAAAAAACTGATATACATTTCAAGCTTATATTTTATAACTTAGATTATTTTCTCTTTCCCTTAAATTAATAAGCAACCTCACTGCATCTAATTATAACTCATTATTTGGAGAGTAGACTGAATCCTGAATCCTGAGTTTTTGTTTTTTTTAAACTTTATTGTTGACACTATTACAGATGTCACCCCTCCCCCCCGCAATTGCCCACCTCCACCCATCCTCTGCTCCCCTTCCCTCTGGCCATCACCACACTGTTGCTGTGTCTGTGGGCTAGGCATATATATTCTTTGGCTAATCCCTTCACCTTCTTTCATCCAGTGCCCCCTGTCCCCCTGCCGCCCCGTTCCTCCTGACAGCTGTCAGTCTGTTCCATGTGTCCCTGCCTGTGTTTCTATGTTGTTCATCAGTTTATTTTGTTCACTGGTGAATCCTGAGTTTTTAAATAGGTCTCTCTCGGGTGTTATGAGACTTACTGCCTGTTGGCTAAAATGTGTAAGTGCCTTGAGCTCTTCAGAGGAATAAGACCGTGTTATTGTGAAGTGACATGAAGTGGGTCATTCTGTTTGCTATGAATTAGCAAAAATGTGGCCAGGTTAGCTGTAGAATCTATGTGGGTAGTTCCAAGATTTTTTTCATCTATTAAAGCTGCTTTTTACTTTAAAAATGTAGTAAATTAGAAAATATGTCCTAACTCAGGTTGTCATGCGCCTTTGGCAGTGTCTGACATAGCTCATGGATAGCTGCTCTCTTTCTTACCTGGAGAACTTCTGGAGTCAATAGAGTTTAAAAAATTCTTTCAAAAAAGTCTTACAGTTACTCTGATCTCAGAAAAGCATGCTACTTTTATATATTCTTTTACAGTTAAAAAAATTGGTTGTTATAAAGGTACAGAGCATGGGCACTTATTTTCTTTTCGTTTGCCTTCTGTCTTTGTGATAGATTCGAGCTGCTAACCTCAGTGGAGACTGCTCACTTGTGAATGAAATATTCAGGCTACGTTTTGGATTAAAACAACACCATCAGGTAAAAACTAACATGAAGTCACTTACCTTTAAGAGTGCTAAGAGTGGAAATAATGAATAAAGAAACGAGAAGTACATTTAGTATTTGAAACTTGAAAGAACTACTTACATGAAATGAATACAAACTGTATACCGTTTAAGCCAAACAGATAGAATTTAGTTCTGTTTTATACTTATGGGTGAGCTGTGTGCCTGACTGAAAGATTTTATTTTTTTTATTTTTTTGGTTTTTATTTTATTTTATTTTTTTATTTTTTATTTTTATTAAATCTTTATTGTTCAGGTTACATTTGTTCCTCTTTTTTCCCCCCCATAACTCCCCTCCTCCCAGTTCCCACCCCACCCTCTGCCCTCACTCCCCACCCACTGTCCTCATCCATAGGTGCACGATTTTTGTCCAGTTTCTTCCCGCATCTCCCATTCCCCTTTCCCCCCCAAGAATAGTCAGTCCATTCCCTTTCTATGTCCCTGATTCATTATAATCACCAGTTCATTCTGTACATCAGATTATTTATTCACTTGATTCTTAGATTCACTTGTTGATAGATGCATGTTTGTTGTTCACAATTTGTATCTTTACCTTTTTCTTCTTCCTCCTCTTAAAGGATACCTTTCAGCATTTCATATAATACTGGTTTGGTGGTGATGAACTCCTTTAGCTTTTCCTTATCTGTGAAGCTCTTTATCTGACCTTCAATTCTGAATGATAGCTTTGCTGGATAAAGTAATCTTGGTTGTAGGTTCTTGCTATTCATCACTTTGAATATTTCTTGCCACTCCCTTCTGGCCTGCAAAGTTTCTGTTGAGAAATCAGCTGACAGTCGTATGGGTATTCCCTTGTAGGTAATTGAGTCTCTTTCTCTTGCTGCTTTTAAGATTCTCTCTTTGTCTTTTGCTCTTGGCATTTTAATTATGATATGTCTTGGTGTGGTCCTCTTTGGATTCCTTTTGTTTGGGGTTCTCTGCGCTTCTTGGACCTGTAAGTCCATTTCTTTCACCAGGTGGGGGAAGTTTTCTGCCATTATTTCTTCAAATAGGTTTTCAATATCTTGCTGTCTCTCATCTTCTGGCACCCCAATTATTCTGATGTTTGTACGCTTGAAGCTGTCCCAGAGGCTCCTTACACTATCTTCATATTTTCGGATTCTTTTTTCATTTTGCTTTTCCGGTTGGGTGTTTTTTGCTTCTTCGCATTTCAAATCTTTGACTTGATTCTTGCGCTCCTCTGGTCTGCTATTGGGTGTCTGTATAATATTCTTTATTTCAGTCCGTGTATGCTTAATTTCTAGTTGGTTCTTTATCATAGCATCGAGGGTCTCATTAGTTTTCGTGACTCTCTCCTCAAGTTTATTGACAGCTTCTAGCACATTTTTGCAAGCCCTCAAAATTGCGATTTTTAGCTCTATATCCTCCATTTCTGTCATGTTTTTTTGTCTCCGCATTTTTTATGCTTTCTTGGTGCACCCCCTAGTGGTCTTTGTGCGCAGTCTTGTTCTAGTTGAGCCTTGATTGTTGTAGTTAATACTAGAGGGATTTGACCACCAGGCCGACTGGCTGTGTGAATCAGCTGTGTCTGATTCTGTCCTCTGGGGAGGTGCTAATCTAGCCTTTGCCTGAGGCGATCCGGCAAATGGCTCTGCGCAGGGCTTGGGCGGGGCGGGCTCAACAGGGCGGGCGGAGGGAGCGGTTATGGCTGCCCTCAGTCCCGTTCCCAGAGGCTCTGCTTCTCAGAACCCCGGGAACCGCTGCAAACCTCGGAGCGAAAGCTGCCTTCCAACTGATCCTGACTGAAAGATTTTAATAGTGAAAAGAACTATTATGATCTCGCTCTTGGGACACTTGTGGATGGGGTAGATAAGGAGTGGAAGTGAAATCACAGCCTGTCTTACTGTTACCCTAGCAGTCCTGGACTTACATTTTTAAACTACCACTGTATTCTCAAGACAAAAAAGTAATACCTTTCAGAAGAGACTTCACTGCAGCACAGGTTACGGCGGTGTATTAGTGCGCCTTTGAAGGATGTATGACGTCATAGCAAAGTTTTGGATTAATACAGATTGAGTATGATAAACTGAGCTGAGAGGGGTTTTGTAGACAAAACTAAACAAAACGAATAACAAAAACCCAAAAGAAAATTAGAGGCGAGATCATCCTGTTAGAGAGCGTCGCTATCACGTCATACCTCTATCCGCCACAGATGGACATGGGGAGGGGAGCATGGAACCGATGGACTGATACTGAATGTGAGCAGTTCTGCCCATAGCAACCAAGGGGCTCTGAGTCCACACTCAGGGAAAGGCTGGTGAGAGACTTTCTGTGGGAAGAGCGTGCTGGACCGATTTGTAAGGGTCATGAGTATTAGGATAGCAGTTCCAACCGGATAGTAGATGCAAAAAGGGTAGGCTTGGAACAACAACAGAAAGACCCTTGGTTCTCTAGCGAAGAGTCACTCATCTCTGGGGTGGAGGGAGGAAAATCCAGTGAACTACTAAGAGAAGGTGTGACCGTGTGAATGGGAGCTAGAGGAGAAGCCTGCTGCTTGGAGAGGGTAATGCCTTAGGTAAGGCTGTTATGCTCTCAGCCTGTGTGAGTCAGCTTAGTGATATGGCGCTGAGCTGCTGTGCCACATGTCTTCTGTGCCCTGGGATCCCTGCGCCCCCCCTCCAGTAAATACAGCTGGGGCTGCATTTGGATGGCCTGTGTGTTCTGGCTCTCAGCGGGAAGGGTGAAGAAGAGGATAATGTGGTTAAAGCATGTGATCCAGGGCCCAGAGTCTTTGAAAGAAAAGTCTCTCCTTTTTTTTTTTTTTTTTTTAAACTTGGATAGCAGCAGCAGCAGCAGCAGCAGCAGCAGCAGCAGCAAATGAATAGAACTAGCAACAGGAAGTAACTATGGGGAGGTAGTGGGAACCTGGTTGAGGGAGAAGAGTGTTAAGGAATGGAGTTCTGCTTTTGTACCCAAGAAGCATAAACATCAGCCCAGCTGGCATGGCTCAGCGGTTCAGCATGGACTTATGAACCAGGAGGTCACAGTTCGATTCCCGGTTGGGGCACATGCCTAGGTTGCGAGCTTGATCCCCAGTGTGGGGCGTGCAGGAGGCAACTGATTAATGATTCTCTCTCATCATTGATGTTTCTATCTCTCTCTTCCTCTCCCATCCTCTCTGAAATCAATAAAAATATATTAAAAAAAGAAGTATAAACATCAACCACAGTAACTGATTGTAAATTTGCACACTTTTAACAGAAATTTATTACATCTACAAAGAAGTGAATCTGAATTGTGATCTATACTTGTTTCTCCCTGTGTCTCCAGGAGACAAATTTTTATCACCATTTTCCCCCACTGAAGGGGAGAAATTTCCTCTGTGGCAATTGTGGTTGTGGCTTCGTACCAATCTTTCTCTCCTTCTTATTCCTTTATGCCTAGGGTTTATTTTAAAAATCAGTGTTTGGTGTAATTTAGATTGAGAAGCACTGTTTTATATTCCAGTATCAGTGAGCATCTCCAGGCTGGGCATGCTGACCAGGCCAAGTAAAACTGGGAACATGCAGAGAAAATCATTGATTGACAGGATGCACAGCCTTCAGAACCAGTGTTTGGTTATTTTTCAGGAAAATGTTAAATGCCATTCTTTTGAGTTTTCGTTTGGGCCTGTGGGGAAATACAATGAGTAAAAGCTCTTCAAGAATTGGAATGGTAGGACCTTATCTTTCTTTCTTTCCTTTTTTCTTTTTTAAATTAAAAAAAATATATTTTTATTGATTTCAGAGAGAAAAGGAAGAGGGAGAGATAGAAACATCAACGATGAGAGAGAATCACTGATTGGCTGCTTCCTGCATGCCCACCACTGGGGATCAAGCCTGCAACCCAGGCATGTGCCCTGACTGGGAATTGAACCGTGACCTCCTGGTTCATAGGTTGATGCTTAACCACTGAGCCACACTGGCTGGGTGACCTTATATTTCTTAAAATATTTAGAATACCGAGAAATTCTGGTCTATTATAATGTAACATTAGGTAAATTATCTTCTTAGAAAGAAAACTTGAACACCCATGCAAAGAACACTCAGAAACAAACAAAAAAAGTTTGATTTGTTTTTCCCTGAAAAATGAAGACATCTTCAAACTATGTGTATATATGTGTGGCTTTCTATTGCTTGCAGGGGATATAGTGTTTCTCTCAAAGGAAAAGTTAGTTAGCATTGCTCAATGCAAAGGAAGAGAGTTACAGAAGTAAAGTATATTTTACATTTATTTAAATTTTATTAAAAATCCAACCAGAACCTTATTTATCCACTTTTCTGTGATTTTGCCAATTGGGAGTTGTTGTTTGGCAAACACTGTCTAGAACTTCAGAGAATGACATCTGCTTATGTTATTGGAAAGGATGAGAACATTGAAAGAGGTTTTACTTATACCTAAATAATTTTTAGAGTGAGCTAATTTCTTTTTTGGAGTGACAGAATGAAATAATAGGAAAATAAGTTTTTTTAAAAAATATATTTTTATTCATTTCAGAGAGAAAGGGAGAGAGAAAGAGAGAGAAACAACAAAGATTAGGGGGAATCATTGATTGGCTGCCTCCTGAATGCCCCCCACTGGGGATTGAGCCAGCAACTCAGGCATATGCCCTTGACCGGAATTGAATCCAGGACCCTTCAGTCCACAGGCCGACGCTCTATCCACTGAGCCAAACCAGCCAGGGCAAAAATGAGTTTTGATTATGGTTCAGATATTATATAAAATGTTATTATTTCATGATTAAATTTTCATATAAAACTAAAGCCACATCCTTTTTGTTTCTTTTTCTCTTTAGACTTGTGTCAGAGACAGAGCCATTCTTTCTATCCTGGCTGTTAGGAATGTCAGCAAAGAAGTAGCTGAAAAGGCTGTTGATGAAGTTTTTGAATCTTGTTTCAATGACCATGAACCTTTTGGAAGAATCCCACATAACAAGACATATGCAAAATATGCTCACAGAGACTTTCAAAACCGTCATCGGTATTACTCAAATATATGAAGGCAATGACATTTTATATTACAGAGCCTCAGTGATCATGAAGAAAATATGGTTCTCAGGTGCACAAATGTATAAAACATAAATGATCAATTAAATACAGATAAGACAGAAGATGCTGATCCTAGTATATTATCAGAAAATGTAACTCTGGTGAAAAATGAAACTGCCTTAAACTTCAAGGCAAAATTATATCTGTATAGCTAACCATTTGGTGAATAAGGAAAATCAATTACATTTTTGTATTTTCTACATTGTACTTGTGTTTTTGATTTTTGTGATTTTATTTTTATTACATACTAGAGGCCCAGTGCACGGATTCGTGCACCGGTAGGGTCCCTTGGCCTGGCTTGTGCCCTCTCGCAATACAGGAACCCTCGGGAGATGTCGGAGAGCTGGTTTTGGCCTGATCTCTGCAGATCAGGCCAAGGGACCCCACTGGTGCACGAATCCGTGCACCGGG